ATTGCAGATGGCACCGTGGGTGGTCGCCGCAGGCTGTACCGCACACCTGCTGCTTCACGTCCCGCGTGTACTGCTCCTTGGCCGCCTCCACATCGATCCCCACAACCTGGATGTCGCGCTGCACCCTGCAGGTTGCCGGAGGAGTGCGGGCAGGGGAGCAGGGCAGGGTAGGTGGAGGCGAGGGCAGCCACGCAAGACTGGTGCACGCCGAGCAAGCGCAGGGCAGGAAGGCTAGACAAGGTCGCACAATCGATCAGAAACACATGAACCCTGGCAGCAGTGGCCAACGACGCAGCGGCGGGATGCACAGGGGGGCGGATTTCATGCAAGGAGGCAGGAAGGGCCCGGCACCAGCGTCAACACCCAGCAGCCAGCAGCCTGCGGCCGGCGGCGCCGCCTCACCTGCGCAGCGTCTGCTCGTTCTCTGCGATGGTGGGCTCCAAGCTACGCTTCCACTGCAAGAGCTCCTCAACCGCGACGGCGGTGTCGTCCTCGCCATAGGCGGACTGCGGTACAAAAGTATGCGCAGCGGTACAGATACGTGGCGGTGCGATCACGCGGTACGGGGTGCGGGACGTCAACGATGTGCCCCGCTCCCGGCAGACATCCCGACCCCAACCCTCGGCCCCTCTCCCTCGCGGAGATGCAGCCGAGCACCTCTGATCTCACGACCTGCCTCCACCACGCCACACGCACAAACCAAAGCGCACCACATGCCGCTCCCGCACCCCGTCGCCGCCCACCTGCAGCTGGTTCAGGGTCGCGGCATTCTGCTTGGCAACCAGCTCGTGCTGCGCGGTGGTGCGTTGCAGGGCTTCAGAATAGTCCTCGATGTCGTTGAGCTGCTTGGCTAGCTCCGCCCTGCGGCCTGAGGCCACCTGCGGCAGCCGGGGACGCCACGCGTGGGGCGAGCAGGGGCAGGGAGTGGGAGCGGAGAGGCAGGAGGCGTTTGCCGAACGAGAGGGCAGGGCGTGCACTCGCGGGGGTGGTGTGCAGCCGCCGGGAGGCGAGCAGGCACAGCGCAAGCTCAGAACGCAGGCACCAGGCCGCTGCGCGCACCTGGCTCTCCTCCTCCAGCCGTGCAATCTCCTGCTGCAGCGCCTCTACCCGCTCCATGCCCTGCTCTTTCTCACTCGTCAGTCGCTGCGGCGGCGGCAGGGAGCAAAGGGTACGCCATCTCCCATGCCCCCCTGCACAAGGCTGGAGACGGGGAGACCGACCCAGCACAGCAACCCAGCGCAGCACCCCAGCCAGCAGCCCACCTGCGCCTGGTCCCTGAGCGTTCGCGTGTGTTCCAGCTTCAGCTTCAGTTCCTTCACCTCGTGCGCCTTCTCGGTGCGCAGCTTGCGCAGGGCCTCCAGAGCCTGCAGGGGGCCGTGGGAGGGAGGGAGAGGGAGAGAGCGAGGGGGTGTGTGCGCCGCATGTATCAGAGCATCAGGGCAGAGAGGGGTGCTGCTAGCGGTGTAGGCTAACGCTTGGAGGCGCTGCATGCCGTGCGGTGCAGCGGTTTGGCGGCGCCGGGCGCAGCCGCCCCGGCTGCATGCAGGACCCCCCGCTGCGCCGCGCTGCCGCAGCAGCGCGTGGCGCCGCTAAGGCAGGGCAGGTTTCAGGCAAGAGGAGTTGATGCATACAGGCCGAAGGAAGAGCTGAGCACGGTGCGCTAAACAACATGTACCAGCAGGCGCTGCCTGCCATTTGGGAGGCGCGACAGAAGCTGCAGTGCCCTGGCCTGGCACCCTGTGCTCCCCGGCCCGTACCGCTGCCACGCCAGTACTGCTGCCCCCCAGGGTGCTGCACGGGCGCACAGCCAGCCTGCCGAGCCGCTGCCTCAAAGACGGCCTCGCCCCCTGTTGCAGCTCGCCGGGCTGGTGAGCACAGACGAGATGCAACAGCGCGGCGAACCCCAACTTGAAGGCGGCAGCTCGGCACACTTGTGCGTGTGCCGGTGCGCTGCCCAGCCCCCGTGTATTGCCACCCCCTCGTACTGCCTAGCCCCTACTGCCGGCACCCGGTACTGGCCACCTACGATACTGGCAACCTAAGGTACTGGCCACCACTGGCCAAGATGGTACACACAGTGTCACATCCCTCTTGTAACGCACTGCACTGCACCCTGATGGTTGTTGAAATCACACATGCACCGCCAGAATGTACTGGGACCGCCTGTACCGCACCTTTGTGTACTTGGTGGCTGCAAAGATGTCGTCAAACTTCTTCTTCAGCACCTGCCGAGGTGGAAAGCCGGGGCGGGAGGAGGACAGGAAGCGCGGCACAGGGCAGGTCAGGAGACCCAAGGCGGCAGGCCAGCAGGTGGGGCAGGGCGCTGGCTGGACACGTCAGCAGAAGGGTCAGCTCGCAGCCGCAGCGGCGGCGGCAGAAACTCATAGCCAGGCGGCTGCTTGCACGCCGGGCATCGCACCAAAGCCACGGCGGCAGAACACATTGAGCATCCCACCCTCCGTGCCTACCCACTCTGTCGACGGCGCCCCGCCCAGCCCCCGCCCCTGCCCACCTGCCCCTCGGCCAGCGGCCAGTTGCTTTCCTCCTGGTGCACGAAGATGACGTTCTCCAGTACCGCCTTGCTCACTCCCATCAGCTGGGGCACCATCCTGTGGGGCGGATGAGGTGGGTGGGTAGGGAAGGCAGGGCAGAGCAGGCAGGCACGGTGGGCAGGTACGGCAGGCAAGCAGGTGGGCAGCATGGGAGAAGGCGCGTCGGGGCGGGCAGGTCACGCAGGCAGGCCAGTGGGTAGGCAGGTTGCCAGGTGTGTGCAGGGGAGCAGAGCAGGGCAGGCTGGTTCGGGCAGGCTGCTCCAGCTGCCAACCCGCCAACCCGGGCCCCGGCACCCATGCTGCGCCCAACAAAGCCGTCCATGCAAGCCCCACCTGCGCCCCAGCTGCGCCGCGCGGCAGCCACCCGCCCCACCACACGCACAGACACGGCACACCAAGCCAGCCTTGGACCCAACAAGGCATCTGCCCGCCGACTGTTGGAGCTCACTTGTCTATGTCGGCGCAGCGGTAGCTCAGCGCCTCCTTGACCCCCGTCTCCCGGTTGAGCGTCTGCAGCACATTGTCCAGCGCCTTGAACTGCATGCTGGCCTTCTTCTGCGGGAGGGCAAGGAGGAGAGGCAGGGGCGCAGACGGGCGTGGGCAGGAGGGAGGGCGAGAGTTAAAATATGGCAGGGGGGAGGGGGGGGCAGTGCGGAGGGGAGCGTGGCAGGCGGGCGGGGAAGTGGAAGGGACGCCCAGCGGCAGGCCTGGTGCTTGCCGCCGCTGCAGCTTGAGCATTGCGGCTGGAGTGCTGGCTCAAGCCCAACGCTCAAGCTGCAAATGCAAACCAGTGCCACCACGAGGCCTGCCGGCCGGCAACCGTCCCGCCCACCAGCCTGGCTGGACGGCGGCAGCGGCCATAGCAAAGCGCGGGGCCGGGGGAACAGCGACTGCGGCGTCGGCGTCGGCGCTGCCTGTCAGCGGGCAGCTGCCGTGGCGCGCCTGTGTGAGCTGGAAGGATCGTATGATGACCACCGGCTGCTTGGTGGCAGTCATGAAGCGCAGCTTGATCTGAGCCTTCACCTCCGTCTCCCCCGCAACCTGCACAGGCGGGGCAGGAGGCACGGCAGGTGTGACATATATGACGTGGGGGACGTGGGAGATGGGGCCATGGGGCACGGGGCACCGGGCAGGGTGCAGGCGGCAACAGAGAGGCGGCGTATCTGTGTGCTGGCGGGGCGGCATGCACGGCGCTGGCAAGCGTGCTACAGCAGCAGCCCAGTCCCAGCCTCAGGCTCCCGCAGGCCAGCCCCGCGACTTGCCTTTGGGTCATGAATGAAGCTCTGGCCGGAGCGGGTGTTGGGTGGCAGCTCCCCGGTGCAAGCCATCTTCAGGCACTCGATCACAGTCTGCAGCAGCGATGCGGCTCGCGCGGGGCGGGGTCGGCGGTGCAGTGCAAGGCCATTGCAGCACAGCAGGAGCCTGCACGGCCGCCGGCACACCCCGCAGCACACCACATATTCACATGCAGCCAGGCAGCACAGCCGCCTGAACCGGCCAGGCGGCCTGGCCAGCACGAACCGTCTTGCCCGCGCCGTTGTGCCCCACGATGAGCGTGAGCGGCTTGTAGAACTCGATCACGTTTTGGTTGTCGGGGCTGAAGGAGCGGATGCCTGCAGGGGCGGCCGGCAGCAGGCGGCGCAGCGGCAACGGGGTTGCCGGCTGCGGACGGCGGGTGGGCCGTGGCGCGGCACACAGCGCGGCGCGCAGCCTCGGGCGGCTGCCTGCAGCACTGCGGAGCTGCCCAGCGCGCTGGCATGCGGGGCCCCGGCCAAACGAGGCCAGAGTGGGCACAGGGAGAGGCCTGGGGTTTGCGGCGCGGGGGATTACCCTTGATGAGCATCTGCGGGGACACATCGCAACGTGATCACTTCGTGGGCGCCGCCTCCCAGCCCTCCACGGCTGCTGGTGCCCAGGCCTCGCCACATGGGCCTGCCCACACTCACCTTGTCGATGTTGCACCCCATGGCTGATCCCTGGCTGCCTTCCCGCTCTGTCAGGGCCTAATTCTGGGCCGCAGGGGCCCTGGGGAGCCGAATTGGCTCGGCAAGGTTCGTGCCTGCCGGTGTTCAGCCAGCCCAGGCGTCTGCTGCCGCTGCAATGCGCATGCTCAGCGCGACAGATGGCGGGAGGGGTGGCCGGGGGCTCCTGGCGCCCTGCTATGCCCGACGTGCTGCGCCCGTGCTTTGCCAAGGCCCGCTTCATGCGTGCAAACGGAGCGCCAAGACCCCTATCCCCCATCTTGCACGGGTGCACCAGACACCGCACACACCAGGCACTCCTCGCAGCGAGGAATCTGCCCACCGGTGCTGCCCTGGTGCTGGCAGCGCCCGCCACCGCCCTCCAGCCTGCAACAGGCTGTCATCTCCAGGTGGAGCGGATCCAGCCACCGGGCAAGCCCCTGCGCCAAGCGCCACCAAGTCTCCGCCTCGCGCGAGCTGCCGCAGTATGGCCAGGGTGAAGAGCCAGGCGCGGAAGACCACCAAAATCATGCCGCCCAAGCGGCTGGCGTCCAGGAACACCCCAGGCTTCAAGCGCCCCAGCAGCGGCAGCAAGAAGAAGGAGGGCCCGGCGCATCGCCAGCCCCACAGGCCTCACCGGCCGGGCGAACTGGCACTCAAGTGAGTGGCCTGCTGGCTGGCGGGGAGGGGCAGCACCCGGACGGCCAGAGACGGAGCGGGGAGCCAGAGGGCCGGACCCCATTCTGTCCGCCCGCCTTGCCGCGCGTTGCGTTCCGTGCTCGCGCCTCCGCCGGCCATTGCCCTCCGCCTGCCGACTTCCAGCCTCTGCCCATGCGCCTGCAGGGAGATCCGCCAGTACCAGCGGATGGGCAAGTTTGCCACGCAGAAGCTGATTGCGCGGGCGCCCTTCTGGCGGCTGGCACGCGAGGTGCTGGGCTCCGTCGGTTCGGGAGACAACCGGTGGAGCGTGGCGGGGGTGACGGCGCTGCAGGAGGCGGCCGAGGCGTACCTGGTGGGCCTGTTTGAGGATGCCCAGATGTGCGCCATCCACGCCAAGCGGGTCACCATCTTTGTGAAGGACATGCAGCTGGCGCGGCGGCTGCGCGGCGACGACTGACGGCTGCCACGTCCGACCCCAGCCCATGCCTGCTGCTTGCTGCGCGGCCTGCTGCTCATCCACCGGGTGCTGGCAGCCCTCCGTGCCCCCAACTGTTGCCCTATCATGTACCACGCTGCACACTGTACGCTTGCCCTTTGCTGCATCTTTTTCTCCCCCACCCCTTCCCAGCGCTGCATGTTCTCGTTGCTCTCTTGCTCCTTGCTCCCCTTTACCATGCTGCCACCGACAGGGCGGTCGCCCTCTGTTGCCATACTTGTGCTGACTGTTTCTATGAGGTAATGCCCGGCAGTGGGTGGGCGCGGCAACGCCCGCGCTTTCACATCCGCTTCGTTGTAAGCACATGCATCCGCCAGCAGCACACACCCTCCGTCCCCTCTCACGTTCCAGATTGGTTGCGATGGAGCTTACACAGGTGTTGCAGCGGGGCTCAGTCTCAGCACACAGCGCTGAGGGAAAGACGGATTGAGGCAGTGCAAAGTCTCTCTGGGAGGACAGGGAGGAGGAGAGGGGAGGGGACAGGTTCAAAACAGCATGCGGTCTCCAAGAGGGCACAAGGAGAAGGAGGAGGCATTCAGAACAGCACAGGGACACTTCAAGTGTAAAACCACCAGTTTGCAGGGTACTTGCGGGGACAGGAGGGCGGCAGATCAACCAGGGGGAGCGGGAAAAGGGGCGCCGGGAACAGAGGCTGGTTGGCTGGGAAAAAATGGCATAAAATCGGCAGAGGGACGGGGCATTCACTGCAAACTGCAGGGGAGGTAGGAGTTTGTTCAACAAGCATGGGCGGTCATGGTTGTGCAGTGGTCTTCGTAATCCAAGCGGAGGATGAAAAGCGGGCGCGCCGCAGGCGGGCGGGCGAGCGGCAGGCGCCGCCACGGGGGGGGGAAGGGTTGATCAGGTTGCAGCTCGAGGCATAATGCCTGCAGCACAGACAGCATGGATCAGCGTGAGGCGGCCTATACAGTGAGGCGTGAAGGGACAGGGAGGTGTGATGGGGCAGCCGCCATGTGCTGAATCCTCGAGGTCAGGCCGCAGCCAACGTGGGCCCCAGCACCGGAAATCTAGAATTCTAGCCCCCGATCACTCGTGGATCTCGGGGGCGGGCGTGCAAGGCCCTGCCAGCGACAATTGCATGTGTAGGGCTCACCCTCAGTACAGCACGCTCAGGCGCTGTCCTCCTGGTTGCTCTGGACCTTCTGATACACCACCTCCGCAACAGCCACGAAGGCGGCAGCTGCGACGGCGTACATAGCGTGAAATGGGTGTGTGGAGTGGGGGCGAGAGAGCTGGGGTGTTGGGAGGGGCTTGGGAAGGTTTGTGTGTGCCGTGGTTCCTTCTGGTTGCTCGAAGAGGGGATGGCGAAGCCAGATGGCGGCGGCTCATGGCACCACGGCCCCTTCCACCCAGGCCTCAGTAAGGCCCAGGTGGCCAGATGCATGCATGCCCGCTTGCGGCTCTCATACCCCACCCCCCAGCACTCACAATGGGTTCATTCGACGCTCTGTGGGGCGCCCAAGGGGCTCACACGAGCAATTGGCAATTGCGGAGCCCTGTGCTCGCCTCTTCCACATCCCTCCCGCCCTCTCCCGTGGCCTACATACATTTCCTCGTGCCTTTATGGTGCCACCAGCGCCAATGGCGCGCACCTGAGCGTCCCAGCAAGGGGTGATGGTGGGCCCAGCCTCTTTCACCCTCTCTCCTTGCGTGCACGCTTCCCAAAATGTTACCAGGTGCGTACTGGGTGATGTGAAGTGAGCAGGCGCCCTGACAACGCCACATACTTGAAGCCTGGAATGCTTGCTGAGCCGCCAGCTCTGCAGGAGCCTCCCTAGCAGGTGTCTGCGCTTCAGCGAACGCTGAATTGTTGCCTCCGATGCGCAGGAGTGGCCGCCGCGTGTTGTCCAGCGAGGACAAACGCCGCCTGGCATCAGCCCCGGAAGTTTCCCGTGGGTTGTGTGTGGCAAGCAGCAATGCACCAGAAGGGGATTCAATGGGGGGGGCGAGGAGTGTGGGCCTGGAGCTGCGCCCGCCGGTGCCGCCCCGCAGGCCGCCAGGCAGCGCGCTGGCCACTCATGTTGCATAGTCATGAGGCAAAAATCGGTGGCTGTGTCCACACGAGATGGGCAGCACGCTCTCTACAGCGCATCAAAGCTGGGGGTGTGGCCGCCTTCATTACCACCCGTCACACCCGTCGCCCCAGCTTCCACTAGAGAGCCCCGCCTCTGGCGTCGCCTGCTGCTGCTGCTGCTGCTGCTGCCCGGCCAGGCGGCTGCCACCGCGTGGCGGCGGCCGCTGCTGCAGCCCGCCACCGCCACTGCCGCCGTCTGCAGGGCTCCCAGCGCCAGCGCCGGTCTTGGCTGTGGAGCGCTGCCGGTGGCGCTGCCCAGCGGCGCCATCGGGGGTCTGGCCGTCAGAGCACACGGGGCAGAACCAGCGCCCTGCAGCAGCCCAGACAGCAGGGGCAGAGTAGCAGCAGTATCAGCACCCACAATCTGCAGCGAGGCAGGACATGCTAGCCACAGGTGGGCATCACGCAAGCCGCCAGCCGCCTCCCCAGCCGCGCACCTGGCGGCACCCCGCCCAGGCCGCAGCAGCGCGGGTGGTAGACCGAGGGGCAGCCGTCGCAGCAGAGCAGGTCGCCTGCAGACACACAGGAAAGGGCGCAGCCGGGCGTGGCGGGTGCTGCCGTTGGCTCCATGTTGTGACGGAAGCCATGGGGCAAACACGCTGTTGGAAGCATCTGTGCCATGGCAGCGCCTGCCGCATGCTGTTGCCTGCACGCTCTGCTGCTGCTGCTGTGATGCCCAGCAGCCACCAGACTTCCCCCCCCCACACACACGCACACACGTGCCACCACGCTCGCCACAGGCACACACCCCGCCCACCTTGGTCGCCGCCGCACGCTGCACACTGATGCTCATGCGACAACGCCTCGCTGCCCAGCTCCGACTCTGTGGCAGCGGCAGCGGCAAAGGGTGGCGGCGGCGGCGGCGGCCACGGTCGGGGAGCGCAGCAGGTCCGTCGCCCCGGCCGCGCCCCAGGCAGCCAGCCAGGCCTTCAGCCCTCTCGGCAAAGCATCCTGGCCAGGGCGGGTGCTGCGTGGGGAGCTCCTGTGTGACCGCGAGAGTGCGATAACACACACACACACACACAGAAGGAAGCAAAGCCCACCTCTGGCCAGAAACGAGTCCTCCAAATCGTACTCGTCATCCTCCTCCCCCTCCTGCCCCCCGCCTCCACGTGGCCACCCCTGCCGGGAGGCCACCAGCCCCAGCTGGCCGCCGCCCAGGCGAGTGCCGCCGGCGCCTGGAGTGTCTTGCACCTGCACCGGCGCCGCAAAGGCCGGGGACGGGCTCAATGCACATGTGTGCGGGGGGTGGGTGGGTGAACCCACAACCCTATGCAACACAACCCGCGGGCCGTCAGCCATGCCAGCGCCAATTTCATGCCATGCCGCCAAGGTGCCTCTCCCCGCACACCTGCGCATCCTGCCGCCGCCGCCGCTCGAGCATGCGCGCGTAGGCAGCCACGGGCGAGGGCGAGGCCCGCAGCAGGCCCATGGGCGGAGGCTGGAAGACCCTGCAAATAAGCGCAGCGCAGCACAGCAGCAGAACGGTTTCCTACTCAGCAGAGGGCCAGCCAGTCGCAAGACCTCAGCAGGAGCCGGCAACCAATCCTCTCCAGCGCTCCTCATGTGCGCCCAGCGCTGCCAGTGCCACGCCGCACCCACCTGCCGCTGCCCTCTCCGCTGGGAGGCTGGCTGGCTTCGTCAATGAAGTCGCTCAGGCCATCCTCATCCCCGCCCTCCCCTTCGTCCCCTGCACAGCGAGCAGGATACGGCAACGCAGGCACAGGTGGCAGGTCTTTCGCGACCGGGAATGCAGCCAGCAAGCCAGCAGCAGGATCTCAGTGAGGCACTAGTGCCATGTGCCCCTCCATGCCCATGGCAGCCCCAGCAGCAGCAGCATGCCTGATGCGTCGTCCCCTGACAGCTGAGCCTCGCAGTCCACAAACCGCGCAGCCCTGCGCCGCGCCTCCTCCCGCCGCCGCAGCCGCTCCTGCGCCGCCTCCAGCTGCTGGCGCCGGCCTTGCGGCGGCGACTGCTGCGCCTCAGCTCCTGCTGGCGCAGGGGCGCCGGTGGCGACCCCTGCAGCACTAGTGGGGCGACTGCCGCCTTTCTGCAGGCGCCGCAGGTTGCCTACCCCTGCCTGCTGCTGGTGCATGGGTGGCAGGCTGGCAGGAGAGTCTGCAGAGGGCAGCAGGCGCGAGCTGTGACCCTCAGCAGCAGGCTGGCAGCATGCAGCTTGCCAAAGCGCAGGCGTTTTGTTGACAGCCAGCAGCGAAGGCACAGTTCGCACACACACACCTGTCGCTTGGGTGTCCCACCCAGCACCTTCTCGGCCCGCTGCCGCCACCCCAGCCCCCGCTGCCGGCCGCCACTCAGGCGTCTGGCTGTCCAGCACGACTGCTCCAGCCTTGCGCCGCCCGCCTGCAGCTGTTACTAATGCAGGCTGCCACTCAGGGCTCGCCTGGCTGTCTTCCAAAGCGGCAGGTGCAGGCACAGGTGGCGGCGGTGCCCTCCCGGCACCCGCTGCTTGTGGCCCCGCCTGCCACTCTGGGGTCTGGCTGTCCACCACCACACGGCGCCTGGCCGCCGCCGAGGCTCCCGCAAGCTTAGCCCCAGCAGGGCCGCCACGGGCGTTGCCGCTTCGTTTCCAGGGAGGCGTTTCGCGGGGTGGCGCTGCCCCCGGTGCCGCTTGGGGTGGGCGGAAGCTGAAGCCACCGCCGCCGCCTTCCTGCTCCGCCTGCTGCCACCAACCCTGCTGTTGTTGCGGCGGTGCTGGGAGCCGGCTGTCGTCTCCATCGTCCTGCCAGGAGACGTCTGAGCATGCTGGCTCTGCTGCTGCTGCTGGCGCAGGCAAGGCGCTGCCGCCACAGCTCGCACCGCTGGCACCGGGTGGCTGCCGCCCGCCGGGGTGCCAGCCCTGATCTTGGTGCTGCATCCCTGGTGGCTTCTCCTGCTGCTGGATAAGGCTTTGATGCGGTGGCTGGATACCGCTGCCGGTCTGGCCTCGGCTGTGCTGCCAGCTGGGCGGTGGGCCGCTGCCGCCGCTCCCAAAACTGCCCAAGAAACCGCCATCATCCAAGCAACCTCCATGGCCAGGATACCATTCTGCGCCGCACTCAAGAGGGACGCTGCCACCGCTCAGCTGCGGCTGGGGCTGGTCGCTCAGCTGCTGCTGGCCGCTCTGGTGCTGCTGGCTTCCATGCTGCGCCTCCTGCTGTTGGTTCCAGGACTGCTGCTGCTGCGCTGCTGCATAGGCCTCTGCCTGGCGTTGAACAGGAAGCGCTGGCTCCGCAACCTGCTGCTCAGGGCACGGCTGGCCAAGCCACTGACCCCGCTGCTGCTGCCTCCCGCTGTCCTTCCACCCGACATTCCTGCCAGCGAATGCGACTTCCGCTGCGCCCACTGCCGCAAAGGCGGGAGACAGCACCGCCACCGTGTGCTGCCCCTGGCGCTGGCTGGCCTTCAGGCGCTTGCGCCTCAAGGACAGAGGCACATCCTCCTCTGCCTGCTCGGCCCCACCAACCGTGCTCACACCTGCAGCCTGCCGCTGCTGCTCAAAGCGCTGAGGAGCTCGCTGCTCGGGCTGCTCCAGCTGTGCAGCTGCAGGGTGCGCTGCCTGCTGCGAATACTGCGCCAGCTGTGCTGCCGCCAGCTGCTGCGCCGCCCATGGCTGCTGCATAGGGCTTGGGATCTCGGCTGGCTGCTGCAGCTGCTGCTGCTGCTGCTTGTGGCGCTTTGCCCGAGATGCCAGCGTTTCCTCCTCCTCTCCTTGGCCCTGTGGCAGCGAGGCAGGGCCAGCAAGCCCCGCCATCTCGTCTTCCTCCTCCTCCTGCTCCTGCCGGTGGCGCCGCCGCCGCTCCGCGCTGCCCAGTTGGGAGGGCAGCTGGCGAGGGCGCCGCTTCTGCTGGGACGGTGGAGGCTGCTGCTGCTGCTTCTGCTGCTGCTGCACCGGTGGCACAGGTGGCAGCGTTGCGCCTGAGCCGGATGCCGCCTCTGCGCCTGTTGCCACCGGGCGAGGCGGGAAATGCCGCCGCCGCGCCAGGCGTTGCGCCAACGGCAGCTGGCTGAGGCTCAGCGGCTCTGCAGGCTGGCTCCCCCCATTCTCCTTGCCCTCTGCATCCTCCTCCTGGGGTGGGGGCTCACTGCACTGGCCGCTGGGCAGCAGGTCCCAATTTGGAACGTCGCTATCAGAATCATGCAAGGCTGACTGCTCCCGCGGGCTTTGCAGCAGCTGCTGCCGCTGCTGGGCCGCCGGTTGCTGCGCCGGCTGCTGCGCCCGCTGTGTTGCAGGCAGTCGTTGACGCTGCGCCAGCTGCTGCCCACGCTGTGCAAGCGGCATCTGCGAGTAACTTCGCTGCTGCTGCTCCTCTTCTGGAGGCTGCTGCGGCTGCTGGGGTGCTGGGGCCGGTTGAGGCTGCTGAGGCTGCACCAGCTGGCGCTGCCGCTGCAGCAGAGGAAGTTGCGAGTAGGTTGGCTCCCAGGCCTCCTTCCCTGGCCCGGCCACAGGGTGCTGCTGCTGGTACTGCCAACGCGGCAGCTGATGCGGCTGCGGCTGCGCTGGAGCCTGTTGTTGCTGGTGCTGCCACTGCTGTTGTGATGGCAGCACAGCCGCAGGAAGCGGCTGCATGGCAGGCTGCACGACTGCCTGCACGGCTGGCTGCAAAGCTGGTGCCAGGTCATCATCTGAGTCAGCAGCAAGATCAATAATATCAGCCAGGTCATACCCAGCTGCTGCCATCGCTGCCGCCAGATCCCTGTCAGGGCAGCCAGCCATGGCTGCCTCAGGAGCAGCTGCTTGTGGCGGCGCTGGTGCTGCTTCCACGGCAGCAGGCACCGCGGGTGTAGCTGCTGCCACGGGCTGGGCTGGCGGCGCAGCTCGCTGCTCAGCAACGAGCAGTTCCGCTGCCGCCACAGCAGCAGCCTCCTGCGGCTCTTGCTGCTGCTCCTGCTGCAGCACATCGGGTGCTGCTGCCGGCGCTGCTGCCTCAGTTGCCGCCGCCTTGGCATTCTGCAGTCGGGGTTGCAGCCGCAAGCGGGTATGAGATGACCCTGGTGAGGACAAAGGGGCCAGCTGCAACAGGCATGGGCGTGCCACAACCCACCTTTCGCTTCTTTGCTTTGGCCCCAGCCGGCGCTGTGCCGGCTGCTGCTGCTTCCGCTGCCGCTGCTGCTGGGCCTGACGCAGTTGCCATCTTGCGCTTGCGAGGCTTGCTGACTTTGGCAGGCTTCTTGGCCGCCGCAGCTGCTGGCGCGGCCACAGCACCAGCTGCCCCTTGCTGCTGCACCGCCTCCCCGCCCAGCGCTGCTTGCTGCTGCTCGGCAGGTGGAGGGGGCAGCTCCTGCGCCCCGGCTGCTGCAAGGAAAGCCCAGCGGTGCGCTGCCGCATCGTCAAACCGCACCAGGTGCTGCTCGTCCTGCTGCTGCTGCTGCTGCTGCTGTGGGTCGCCGCCATGCACCGCTTCCCGCCGCACTCGACACTGCCTGCGCAGCAGCAGGCCGTCAGGTGCCCGCTGCGGCGGCAACAGGGGGTGCTGCTGTGTGGGAGGCGGGGTAGAGACAGCCTCCTGCTGCTGCTGCTGGTGGTCGTTCTGATTAGAAGCAGGCGCCAGGGCAGCCGCCGCCGCCAGGAGAGCCTCGAGGGTGGGTGGTGGCCCGATGCGCAGCTGCCCTGCCATATCCCAACCAAGAGCTGCGGCAGACACGTCTGGGAACAGCAAGCGGTGCTGGACTGCCGGCTGGGCCTGCTCCGGCGGCTCCCCAGCCCCTTGCTCCCCGCCACTTGGCGGCGAGGCCGGGGGCGGCGCGCCCGGCGAGCCGTCGCCACCAGCTGCTGGGGCCGTGGCTGGTAGGGCATCCCAGCATGCAACTTGGTCTCCTGCTGCCCCTTCGCCAGCTGGCACCACCGCCACCTCAGCATCATCATCATCATCCCCTAGCAGATCCACCACCTCTGGAGCAGCTCCGGCTCCAGCCGCAACAGTGGCGGCAGCAGCGGCGGCGGCCTTGCCGCTGGCCTTGCCGCCTGCTGGCCGGCCGCCCTTGCTGGCTGTTTCTGGCTTGCATGCTGCAGCGGCTGCTGCTGGAGCCTCTGGAGGGCCCTCTGCTGCCGCCTCCATGAGGGCATCAAAGTCGTCTGCTGCCTCGGCCACCGGCTCAAACCGCCAGTCATCGACCTCTGCCGCTGCTGCTGCCGCGTCTGCTGCCGCGCCAGCACCTGCACGGTCTCCCAGATCGCCGCCATCCATCTGTGCTCGCTCTTCCTCCGAGTCACTGTCAATGATTGTCAGCTGGCCACGGCCGCTGGCCCGCCGCCTCCCGCGCCCGCTCCCTCGCCCGCTGCCCGCAGCCGCCCGCCCACTACCCCTCGCCTTGCCGCTGCCGCGGCCCCTGCCGCGGCCAGACTTGGCTTCCGACTCCTGCACAGTGCACAGCGGGGACAACAGATCGACGCATACAAACAGGCAAGCCTCACCAGCCGCCGCACCACAGTAATGCGAACCAGCCAGCTGGTCAGGTGCGTGCACCCTGCCCGTGACCCATGCCAGCAGCCCCCTCCATGTGCCATTCCCGGTGCCCCGCCACACCTTTTTCGGCGTGTGCTCCACCGCCACATCTATGCGCACAGGCTCGTACGCGTGGGGCAGCATGCGTGGGCTGCGGTCGAACAACTCAAAGCCGCGAGGGTTGCGCAGTTTTCGCTGCAGCCTCATGGTGTTCTGCGGGGGCAGGCAGGCAGTGAGGTGTGCAAGTGAGGGTGAAGGTGGTGTGGGCGGCGCTGGTAGTGGTGTGTTTGCATGTGTACAGAGGAGTCGTGGGCAGGCAGGGCAGGCTAGGCCTGCAGCACGGCGAGGGCGCTGCCGGTGTCACGGTGCAGGGCATTGCTGCTGCCTGCTGCTGATGCTGCTGCTGATGCTGCCACTGTCGATGCTGCTGCTGATGCTCGCCTCTTCAATCTGGTTGTACTTATCTTGCTCCCTGCCAGCAGCCAGGATGTACACCACCCGGCCCTCCTTGTGCCGCCCCGTGCGCCCCATGCGTTGGGTGGAGCGAGTGGGGGAGGAGGTGGCGTCGTAGCAGACGATCAGGTCCACCTGGCGGCAGCCGGCGGCGTAGGCAGACGAGCGAGGCGTTGAGATGGAGAGAAAGGCGACATGAGGGTGGGAGAAAGCTGAGGGCGGCAGCTGGGAGATGAGCAGGCACGCAGACTGTACCGCAACAGCCATGACTGTTGACCCCGGCCAGGCATGCGTCCTTGTGGCAGCTCGCCTGCGGGATGTCCAGCCCCTCCTCGCCGATGCAGGTGGCTACCAGGCAGTTGAAGGCGCCAGACCTTGAGGCAGACGTGTGGGTGGGCAGGCGAGGAGGATGGAAACGAGAGACCAATGGGCGTGGGTCGGGAGGTGGCCATGGCGGAGTCAGCAGGCATGCAGGCAAAGGCTCCCTGCAGCCAGCTGCCTCAGCCCGCCCCGCACCTGAACCCCTTCAACACTTCCTTCTGCTCCTTCTGGGTCATGCCGCCGCCGCTGGCCTTGCCGCCGCGGCTCTTGCCGCTGTTGCTTTGGCCGATGAATGACCTGCAGGGTTAAAGGAAGGATAGCGGCAGGGTAGCGGCAGCCAGAGTAGATTTACATTCTGGAGCCTGTGGCGCAGACCTCATCAGCTGTGACCCCTTGCTGGCTGGCTGGGTGCCTCTTGTAAATGGAACCAGCCCCCTGTGCTATGGCACCAACCCCGAGTGCCACCAACGCACATGCTGTACCATGCTGTGCCCTGCTGTGCTGACCTGGCAGTGATGAGCGGCTCGTGCGCTTGCAGCGCCGCGCGAATCTCCGCCACTCCGTCACGGAAATTGGTGAACACAATCACCCGCCCACTGGCGCCCTCCTCCCCGCCCTGCGCCTGCGTGGGGCAGCACATGGAAAGGCAGCAGCGGTGATAGGTCCAGCCAGCGGTGTTGCCCTGCAGCTACCGAATGTGGGGTGCTGCCGCTCAGGACGCGAAGAATGGCTGCCACACGGCCCAAGGCGGCTGCCTCACCGAGAAGTGCTGGCGCAGGATCTGCACCAGCTTGATGAGCTTGGGGCTGCTGCCTCCGTTCCGCACAGCGGCCTCTAGGGACTGCTGGAACTGCAGAGGCAGGACCAAAGGCAGGGGCGGGGCACCTTCAGGCGTGTTTGGCGGCGGCATAACCATGTGCGCCTGGGGGCAGGCACCCTCTCAAGACGCTCGGACATGCATGTGCAAGGAATGCAACGCAACGGGCTGCGCCACGGCCGGTTGACCGCCTCACACTGCAGAACATGCTGTCGTCGCGTAGGCTCTTCATATAGTTATCGTTGATCTTCTGGTTGAGATATGATAGCGCCTGCAGAGGCAGCGCAATGGAGCCATGTGCTAGGGCAGCCGGCGCCAGGTCGGACCGCAGCAGCATGCGGTCCGGGCACGGCGTCACCCTGATGCAGTTGAGCTGCTGCCTGCTGACCCCTGCCCACCCACCTGGGCCACTCCGTACACATCCAGCAAATCCCTTACTTGCACAAGCGCCTGGGCCTGCATGCAGCCAGCGCGCGCAACCAGATTCAAGCACTAGCACAGCGCGGTGCCCAGCTGCAGAGTCGGGAGCCACCTTGCCCATGTCCCTCCCGCCACTGCATTCAAGCAAGCGCACGCAGGTGCCGAGGCCCGCCCAGGCCAGCCCTGCCTGTGCGATTGCGGGGTTGAAGGAGTTCGCCTTCTGAGAGGTGCGCAGCGCGTGGCTGGATACAGTCTCTGGGTTGGGGTTTCCATAGTACTCCTGCACCCAGATGTGATGGTGCTGGGACGAAGCGCCAGCGCGCGGCCGAGGCAGCCCCCATTCCTGTCGGTGGCAGCTGCCTCCAGGCCAGGCACCCACCTTCTTGGCAACCAGCGACGCAATGAAATTGTGGATCAGGCGGAGCAGCACTGCGCGCAGCGGCACCGTCTCGCGCGTGGGGTATACTAGCTCCACTGCAGGCGGGCAGGCAGGCGCACGCGCAGTGAAGGACGGGCAGTAAACCACTCGACTCGCCGCCACCGATTGCAACAGCTGTTGCTGCTGCCATGCCGGCCAGCGGGTGCCCCTGCGTTGCCCCAGCCATCCTGGCTTGACAGCCGCATGCAGCACGTGCCAGAGATGTCCTTGGGGTGGGTGTAAGGCGCCACATCGGGGTCCTGCTCGGTACGGAACTCGATGGCGGAGATCATCAGCTTCTCGATCACCTCCTGCGGCAGGAGTAGCAGGGATGCAGGGGGGGGTGCCAGCAAGGGAGGCAGCCATCAACGGATGGGAGAGGGCAGCAGTTGCTGGCGAAGCCAAGCCTGGCGAGGAACCGCGGTGCTCAGCGCGGCACCAGCATCACAAGCCGCGTGACTTTGGCGGCAACCGTCAGAAGCGGAATGCGCCGCGGCAGCGAGGCGCGCCCTGCCTGCACTTTGGCGCCGTCGGCGCCCGGAGTGGCGCTGAGGCCCAGGATGCGGAACTTGCACTTATGTTGCCGCATAAGCGACACTGCCTTCACGATGTCCTGGTTGCCTGCGGGCGGACCAGGCAGCGACAACAAGGCAGGCACAGCGGTGGAAGGAGGGACGCGCGAAAGCGCCTCAGGAGGGACTTGGGTCGGCCTGGAAGTTGGAGAGGCACCAGGCCAGCAGCAGGCTCCCCACCCGTGGCTCGATGGCACTCGTCCACCACCAGGCACACCACCCGCTCATACGGGCAGATGCCTGCATGGGAGGGCCAATAGATTGCAGGAACTGAGGCGCATGCCACCGCCGGGCGCCCAGCAAGACAGAGGACAGGCACGACCCGAGCCGCCCGCCACCCGCCCGCAGTCACACCCACCATTCTGCAAGTCTTTCCAGAAGGTTTGCGGCGTGCAGAAGAAGGCGCGCCGGATGCCGCCCTGCCACTCCTGCTTGCGCGCATCCGGCCTCGAGCCGCCTGCACGCGGCCACAATAGAGCAAGGCACATCACAAGCCAGTGGTTCACAAGAGGTGGTGGCGGAAAAAGGTTGAGTGAAGGGCGGCACCGGGCAGCCAGCGCCGGCCAGCTAGCCACGCAGCCTGTCGATAGCGGCAGGCAGGCAGGCAGGCAGGCAGGCAGGCAGGCAGGCAGGCAGGCAGGCAGGCCCACCCGTTATCTCGCAGAAGCCCGACTTGCTCATGCCCATGAAGGAGTGGCAGGCTTCCATCTGCTGCGCCACCAGCGGCCTGGTGGGCGCCACAAACACCACCTTGCCCTGCACCAGGAGGGTGGCAGGGTGGTGGGGGCAGGGCAATCCAGTTGGGGCAAAGGGGCAAAGGTGTTTAGGCGGGACGGACACCCAGCGGAAGAGAGGTCCACATGCAGGCAGGCGGCTTCAGCCCCAGGCCCCACCTCTGGGAACCAGCGCGCAAAGTTGTGCATGACGACCGCCGCGATCAGCGTCTTGCCCAGACCCGTGGGCAGGCACACCAGCGTGTTGGTCAGCAGCGCGGTCTGCGGGCGGGATCGAGAGGGCAGGGTGGGTTGGGCGCGTGCACCCTTGAGCAACTCGCTGAGACGGAGGCTGGCGGCAGCGGCCACAAGGGCAGGCAGGGAGGGGGGGCAGGGAGGTAGGCAGGCAGGCAAGCAGGCAGGCGGCAGCAGCCACAAGGTGTGCAGGCAGGCTGGAACAAGCCGGCAGGCAAGGAGGCGGGCAGGCACCTGGATGCAGGCCAGCTGGTATTTCCGCTGCGACACGCCTTTGGGAAACACCCAGTGCCGAGCGCAGACCCTGCAGCACAGCACGGGCAAGCAGGGTGAGGCGCGCCGTGCAAGTGGGTGGCACACAGCTCGGTATGGTGGCTAGGAGGCGCAGGTCACAGCTGCTCAGGCAGCCACAGCCACTTCCCAGGCCCCTGCTCGCCTGTGCAGGCGAATGCCGCCAGTAGTGGTGTTAACAGGCACCAGGTCGCCTTCGCCGCCGCCCAAAGGATCGCCCACACCACCAGCGTCGTCATGCGCCACGCCTGCCCCCCAACCGCTGCCGCCGTTGCCTGCTGCGCCGCCGGGCGTGGCCCACCCTGCGGCCACAGGCGACATGACGCCGCCGCGGGGCGATGGCCCGCCACCGGTTGGGCGTGCAGCAAAGGCCAGCTGCCAGGGCTGCCAGGGCTCAGGCTGCTGTGCCGCAGCCGGTTGGGGACGATGGTATGGCAGCTCCTGCTGCATCTGCTGATGCTGATGCTGCGAGGGCTGCTGCCGCCCCGGCTGCACCGCCGCTGCCGCCGGGGCAAAGCCGGGGAAGTCTGCTGGGGCGGCGGCTGCTGGGGCCCGCTGCTGTTGCTGCTGCTGCTGCTGCTGCTGCTGCTGCTGCTGTGCGGGCATGTGATAAGCTGATGCCGACGGCGCCGTGGCTGAGGCTGTCATGCCCTCTGGAAAGTAAAACTCCATGTCAATGTCGGCAGGCACCTGCTGCCCGTGCTGCTGCCCGTGGGGCTGCGCCGGTGGCTGATCACGGAATGCCTGCTGAGCCTGCTGAGGCTGCTGAGGGCCCGCCGCATGTGCGGCACCGGCAGCGGCCTGAGGCGGCAGCCCCTCGACAAGCGAGCGAGCTGCATCGGCTGTGGTCCTGAAGGCTGCCTGCTGGTGCTGGTGTGGTGGTGCAGGGCGGGATCCCGCGGTCGGCTGCGGCGCATAAGGTAGCTGCTGCTGCTGCTGCTGGGGAGCAGGCCCCTGCATCTGTGCTGCATTCCCTGGGTGCGCTCGCCAAGATGCAGGCCTGGATGCGACCTGCTGGCGCTGCGGCGGCGGCGGCCAAGCCTGCCGTTGCGGTGGCGGTTGTTGCGCGGGCTGCTGCTGCAGCTTCTGCTGGTGCTGGTAGTGGGGCAGGGCGGCGGGAGGCCCGGCCCCAGCCGCCGCGGCCGCCGGCAGCGCCCCGGGGCCAGGCGACGTGTTTCTCCAAAAGGCATACACACACGGCTGCACGAGCTTCTGGCCCTGGCCGCTGGCGGCCGCCGGCGGCGTCTTCTGGCGCTGCCCCCGCGGCTGCTGCTTCTTTGGCGGCGGCCTGTGGGTGGCTGCACCCGTTGCTCGTCCGGGCAACCTGCCAGCCACGCCGCTGGGGCCGGCGCCACCGCTGCCCCTGCCTTGTGGGCCAGGCGGCGGCGCTTGCTGCTGCTGCTGCTGCTGCCGCTGCCAGCTGGGTGCTGCCCCATAGGCTGGCCTGCCCGGGGGCGGGGCTGCACCCTCCAGCGGATGGCCCCACTGCGGCTGCTGCTGCTGCGGCTGCGGCTGCTGCTGGGGTGGCGGCGGCTGCCATGTGTGCTGCTGCGGCGGCGGCGCACCTTGCTGCCTGCCGCCTCCGTAGTGCGGCGGAGCGGGGGGTGGCAGTCCGCTGCTGCCAGGCGCCAACCAGCCTGCATTCATTTCAGCGCCGCTCCTGCCATGCCAGCTTTGTTGCGCTTGTGGCGGCACCCCTGCGGCTGCGCCTGGCACCGGCTGTCGCTGCTGCTGCCAGGCAGGCGGCGGCGCGGCGGCGGGTGCAGCGGGGCCCGTCCCAGGCCCGCTGCCGCGCTGTGGCCATCCTACATTTGCGCCGGAGGGCTGGAAGGCGTTGTGGGGAGCGGGCTGCTGCTGGCGCTGCGCCAGAGCGGCCGCCTCCAGCTCCTCCAACGCCGCCAGGTCCTGCAGAGCGTCAAGCGCGCGGAAGCAATTCAACTCGAGGCCCCGGGCACGGCGATCGCTTGGCGTGCTGGGCACGGACCACATTTGACACCCGCAAAACCAAGCGCTGGCCCGGGCGCACCCAGTCATCGTCATCCATCCCAGAAAGCAGAGCGATAAGTAGGAATGCGGAGGGCAGCATGTGACGAGAGTTTCTGCACCGCTGCGCTGTGCCACGCTGTGGCGGTGGCGCTGGGCTGCCGCCGGTGGCGGAACATGCACGTGTGCGCCTGGCCACAGTTTAAACTGCGTTACATGCCGGAAGGTAATGGCGATTTGCAAAACATTGAGTGCGGCTTTGCGGGAAGCAGGATGCAGAGACAGCGCAAGAAGGATGGCGGGCCTCCTGGCCCACCACCGCACCCAGCTCTCAAGCTGGCTGGACAGGGCACCCACCGGCAGCAGAGGTGCAGGTTTTTTCTCAGCAGTTTAGTGCGCCGCCAGGTCAACAGTATGGCCCCTATCCATGTCGTGCTGCCACCTCGCGGCGGGATGCTGCCTCCTAACCATCCACTTTGCCCCGTGTTACCATGGTATAGCAGCACTCCATAAATAAACCAAATGGGAGGAGCAGCTCCAGGCATGGGACAGAGCCTTAGTGCAAGAAGGGCGCATGCCCGTCCTGCAGCACGCTCTGCAGCTGGGCAAACTTGGCGGCGGAGGCGGCCTTGTGCTGCTCCAGTGCCGACAGCACCTGCAGCGGTATGCGGGGGAAGGCTTCAGAAGGGTGCGCAGTATCTGCTGCGGTACATCCTTTGGAAACATAGGAAAGCCCGCCAAGCAACCCAGTTAGCCAGCCTGCCAGCCAGCCCCACCTCCCGAAGCTCCTCCTCCACTTCCAGCACCCGCGCCGCCGCCCGCGCCGCCTGGCCCTGGTGCCGCTCCGCCGCGCCTGCCGCAGCGCGGCCATGCTGCTGCTCCTCCCGCAGCTGCTGGCGGAGGCCGTGGACCTCCGCCTCCAGCTGGCGCACGCTGGCGGCCAGCACATCTCGCTCGCCACGCAGCTCGGCTGCCACCTGCTGCGCGGCGCTGCAGTCGGCGGCCAGCCGCGCCTCCTGCACCACAGCCATAGGTGGGGGGCCATTCGGCACACAGAGCAGCAGCACACTTGAGATGCTTCTGAGCTGCTGCCCACTCTGTGCACAACACCCACAGAACAGGCGCCAACGTACGGATGGGAGAAGCAGCGACCACGGCCCAGGCAGCGGCAGCAGACAGCCCCGCAGCAGCGCACCTTTTGCCCGAACAGCGCCTTCACCCGCTCCACCTCCTCCCCCACGTATGCTATCATGCCTTCCTTCTCCGCAGCAGCCGACTCGGCCGCGGCCGCACGCTTGGCCGCCTGCGCCGCCGCGCGCTCCGCGTCGGCCAGTCGCCGCTCCAGCTGCTCAATCACTCCCTCCTGCGCCTCGATCTCCGCCCTGCGAGGCATGCAGGCAGGCGCACAGCACAGCATATGACTCATGGCGCAGGCCGAAGGGCAACAGCAGCATCAGTGCCTGCACACGGCGGGCTCATGCCGGCAGCCAGGATTGGGCGCCATACCCCTCCCTTGCCACCCTTCCGGCCGCTGCCCCACCTCAGGCTCTCCTGCTTGTCGGCGTCTCCGGCCTGCAGCGCCTGCAGCTCCTCCTCTGCCTCCTCCGCCACGAGGCGCGCCTCTTCAGCGGCAGCACCCGCCTCTGCCGCCGCCTTCTTCAGGTCTGCGATGCGCTCGTTGGCAGAGTCCACCATCGCTTCCTTGATCCTGCGGGAGCAGGGAGGCGGGGAAGGGGGAGGGTTGGGCTGGGCTGGGGTCAGCCACTGCGGTCAGGTGAGCAGCTATTCCAGAGCCTGCGGTGGCGACAAGGAGGCGCCGCGATAGCAACAGCTGCTGCTGCAGCAGCTGCCCCTCACTTGACAGCATCCCGCAGGTTCTGGGACTCCTCAGCCAGCTGCTCCGCGCGGCTGCGCGCCTCGGCAGCGGCGCCCTCGGCGGCCGCCGCACGGCGCCCCGCCTCCTCCCGGCCCGCCTTCAGCGCCGCCTCAGCCTCAGCCAGCCTGCAATGGCGACAGCTACGCTGCGTCAAACAAATGTGCAAGCAGGCCTATACAATGTCGCCATCATGTGGCACAGGTCTCTCCCACGCCACAGGATGGGAGGCGCCAGCAGGCACCAGCCGGCAGCCCAGCGGCGCGGGCCGGCGGCGGCCTCTTGCCTGGCTGCAGCCTCCTGCCTGGCCTCCAGCAGCTGCTGCTGCGCGCCCGCCAGCCGCTGCTGCAGCGACTCGGTGAGCCGCCGCTCCTGCGTCAGCTGGTCCCGGATGGCTGCCAGCTCGCCGGCCCGCTCCCGCAACGCCAGCAGCTCGCCACGTAGCCGCTCCAGCTCCTGTATTTCCACCGCACGCGCCGAGACCGACCTTTTTCAACGCAATCCGCAGGCCGGGAGCGGGCGTTCCAAGGCCCAGCAGGCCCCATCAGCGGCAGGCAGCGGCAGGCAGCCCACCTGCGGGTTCATCGCCTGCAGCCGGGCACACGCCTCTGCCTTCTCCTGCGCCAGGCCTCGCATGCGCAGCTTCTGCTGCTGCACCACCTCGCTGAGCTCGCTCGCCAGGCCCTCGGCGTCCTGCGGCAGGCGAGGGAGGTGAGAAGGCGCACGTTGGCAAGAGGAGGCAAGAGCCAGCTGGCAAGGGGGACACCCGTTGAGCGGGCCGATGCCGGTGCCACCGCTCCAGGCTGGCTGCTGCCAGCTGCAGCTGCATCGATGCCTCGCCTCAGCACGCTTGCAGCACGCCACCTGTAGCATCCCACCTGGCGCCTGGCCTGGGTGTCGCGCAGCGCCCGCCGCAGCTCGACGCACTCGGCAGCCAGTGCTTCCAGGTCCTGCCGCATGTGCTGAGCCTCCCGGGCCGCCTCCTGCACCCCACCAGGCCCCCAGGGGCGCTGTTGGACGAGCGCCCGGCGGCATGCATGGCTCCAGGGCAGCAAGGAGCCTTCACGAAGTCCTGCAGATACTGCGCAGGCCAGTATCCTGCAAAGGCCAGTATCCCGCACAGGCCAGCTGCAGCGCGAGCAGGATCTCAACAGCAAGCCGCGCCCTCCCACCTGCAGGGCGCAGCGGAACTCGGCTTCCGTGGCCGCCAGCCGCCGCTGCACCTCGTCCCGCTCGGCCTGCGCCGCCGCCGCCGCCGCTCGCGAGTCTGCCGCCGCGGCCGCCAGCTCGCGCTGGTGCTGCTGGCGCAGGGCCGCCAGCGCCGCGTCGTGCTCCTCGTGCACAGCAGCCAGGGTGGAGGACAGCTGGCGCAGCTGCTGCGCAGCTTCCTGCTCCCGCCTCGCTGCCTCCTGCGCCTGCTGCTGCCGGTCCGCCAGCTGGGCCTGTGCGGCAGCGAGCTCCTGCTCCAGCTGCTCCTGCCGCCTGCTGCCCTCCGCCCCAGCCGCCGCGCCCTCCGCCTGCAGCCGCTCCGCCACCTGTCGCTGCTGCGCGACCTCCTGCCGCGCCGCCGCCAGCTCGCCACGCACAGCCGCCACCTCGGCCCTGCCGTGCGCCAGTTCGGCAGCCAGCCGCTCAGCCTCGGCCACGGCTCGCTGCTGCTCCGCCTGGCGAGCCGCCTCTGAACCATCCAGCTCCTGCCACGCCCGAGCCAGCTCGTACTCCAAATCCTGCTGCCGCCGCCGCCCTTGGGCGGCGCTACTGTGAGCCTCGCTGAGCTGCGCCTCCAGCGCTTCGTGCCGCGCCTGCAAGCTGCCCAGCTCACCCCGGGCCTGATCCAGCGCCCCGGCCGCCTGCTGCCTGGCTTCGGCCACCTGCACATCTGCAAGGCGGGCAAACTCTGCCGCCTGCTGCTGCGCCTGCTGTGCAGACGCTGCGGCATGCTGCTGCGCACGCTGCGTCGCCAGCGCTTGCACTTCCAGCTCAGCCTGCAGCGCCTGCGCCTCATCTTGAAGGGCCGCCAGCTGCTGCTGGCACTCCTCCTGCTGCTTGGTCGCATCCACATCAGGCTCCGTCTGGGCTGCCGTGCTTGTGTGCAGCACAGCCGGCAAGCGCTCAAGCTGCCGCTGTGCATCCTCCTCTGGTTGCGGCTGGCCGGAGCAGGCGGCGTGACCATGCTGGTGGTGGTGGTGCGATTTGGCCGGCGAGGCTGGTGCGTCCACCTGCTGCAAGGCTTTGCGGATGGCCCCAGCCAGCTGCGGGCAGCTGTGAAGCAGCTCCAGAAGCTCGTGCTCTGGTCCACCAGCGCTGCTCATCTCTGCCTCGCCCTGGTGTGCCTGCTGCTGCTGAGAGCTCGGTGGTGCACCGTGTGGCTGCAAGCAGTTGTCCGGGGCTGGTCTGCCGGCAAATGCCGCAATCATCCGTTGAATGCGCTGCAGCGGCACAGGGGCGGAGGGCCCAGCGCCTTGCAGCTCCTGCCCCTCAGCCGGCGGTGCAGCCGTCTGTTGGCCTGACTCCTGCTGCCCGCTGTCGCACAGTCGCCCAGCGGCAGCTGCTACTGCCGGCCGCTGGGCTTGCTGCGGCGCCTGCTCCCCCAGTGCCTGTCCCTGCAGCTGCCCTGGTGCTGGGGGTGGCGGCAGCGCTGGCGCGGGCTGGAATGCCTGCAGCTGCAGGGCTGCCAGGTACTGGAGCGCCTCGCCGGGGCTCACAGGCTGCCCATCCAGAAGCTTCAGCCGCGGCAGCGCCGCTGCTATGGCCAGGCGATATTGTGGTTGGCGGCACACCGGGTTGCCTGCAGACAGCAACAGTATAAAGGGGTGGAGATAGCAGCGGCAGCAAGGCAGGTGGTGCCAGGGCTCCTGCTGCATATGGAAGGGGCACCAGACAGGTGTCCAATGCACGAGTAGCTGCATCCTGCACCTGGCATGTCGCCTGCCACCTGCAGCTCTGCCAGCCGCGGCAGGCCTGCCAGCACCGAAAAGTCCCCCAGGCTGGCCAGCGCATTGTCCCGCACATCCAGCCGCTCCAGCGGGCCGCCATGCAGCGCCGCCAGGCCCGACAGGGAAGCCAGGCTGTTGTGGGCGAGGCTGAGGCGGCGCAGGCAGGTCAGGCCTGCCAGCGCGCCGACGCCTACAGTCGCCAGGCTGTTGCTGGCCAGGTTGAGGCTAGTGAGCTGGACCAGGCCCGCCAGGGCGCCTTCTGCCAGCTCAGTGATGCTGTTGGATGACAGGTTGAGGTCCTGCAGCGCGCCGAGCCCGCCGAGCCCGGCCACGCTGGCAATGGCGTTGCCGTGCAGGCACAGCCGGCGCAGTGGCGGGAAGGCAGCTGCCAGGTTTGCGGGCACTGCGGTCAGGCCCTCGCCAACCAGGCTCAGGGCCGCTGCCTCGGGATCTGCGCCATCCTCGCCGTCGCTGCTGCTCAGATCGGCTGCCAGCAGAGCCGCCAGCTCAGCTCCAGGGTCATCTGGATCTGGAGCTCTTGCGCTGCCGCGGCAGCACGCCGCCGCTGCAGCTGCCTCGCCCCCTAGGTTGCCGCCGCAGCCACCAGCAGGCACCACTGCGCTGGCAGTGGCCATGCTACCAAGCTGCAAGCTAGCGTGCTTGCCAGCGGTTCAGCTCTCTGCGTACAGCTGCAGCTGGAAGGCTCCCTCCAGGCAGCACGACTTGATGGGCACAATCTGCGCCTGCTGCAGCTCCAGGTGACCGGGAGCGGGCTGCTCCTCCACCCACGCCGCCTGCGGCACGCCGCCCCGCCAGCTGGTGTAGGCCACCACCTCAAAGGTGCAGCTGGGCGGCAGCTTCTTGAGGTACGAGTCGGCGTACTGCAGCTTCAGCAGCAGGCCCCGCAGGTGCGCCTCGACGGCCTCCACGTCCAGGCCCTCCTGCGCAGTGCCGCCGCCGCCCGCAGCCAGAATCTGCAGCGGGAAAAAGTGGGGAAGGAACAGTGTGGTTGCAGCATAAAGCAGGGTGGGGAGGGCACATAGGCAAGCCTGGGCAGAGCTGGGGCAAGCGTGAACCAACAAAGGAACAACCAGGCAATGCCTCCCACCCGCGGCTCGAAAATGAAACGCTCCACAGGTGTGCGGTCCGGCCGCAGCACCACTATTGCCACCTTGGCGAGACTGCCGCTGGCCAGTGGGGCCTGCAGGTGGCAGGTTCGTGAAGCGGCACAGCAGTGGCACCACAAGGAGCGAGCGGGTGGGGTCGCGGCACATGCATGAGCCTCTGTGCCTGGACACACACCATCCAGTCATGCTTTAAGGGCAAGGCCAAACGTATGGCATAGCAACAGCCAGCCCTCTCCAGGTGGCCACGCACGCCACCCACACCACCCACACATACTTTTAAGCCTGCCACTGCGTCAGAGATGTAGGCGGCGAGGTCTGGGTGGCGCGCCCGCCGCACCGCGATGCCGTATAGGCGCTGCCGCTCAAACAGCTCCGGGCTATACAGCTCCCGAACAAAAAGCACCTGATGCACCAGGGCCTCGAGGAACTCAAGCAGCACGTCCACCAGGGAGTCTCCCGCCACCATGTGCCGCGCGGCTGCCGCCCTGCCGCAACCGGCGCAACGCTGGGTGGCGCAGCGAGGGAGCTGTGCCGCGGTGGCCTACTGGTGCACTGCTGAGGGTACCAGCACGAGAGAGGGCGTGTGCGACTGCGCCCGATGTGATCTCTGACGTCTGACCAGGGGCGGCTTGCACCAGCACTTGAGCAGCAATTGGCCGGCGCCGTATGGGAGCGATATGAAGGCAAGTCAGCATCCGCCATGCTGGTCCAGCTCCGCATTTGCCGCGCTGGCCTGAGTTTTGCTCGGTATGTGATTTAGGCAGTGCCGTCGTTCCATGATGGCTGCTGTCGTCGCATCCAGCACGGCCTGGCGGCCCTCTGCACGCCCCAGCGCGGCGAGGTGCCATCGACCGCGACGCTCAGCTCGCGTGGCGACTCGCAGCGGCGGCAACGTGAGTGGGGGGATGAGCGCTGCAAATTCTGATGAGCTGGGATGGGTGCAGTTGGATAAGCGCTCCGCGCTGCTCACCCGCTGCTATCGCCTGCCGCTGCCGCCTGCCGCGTGCAGGCTGCCACGCTACCGCAGCAAGACCTGCTAGCAGCGGTCGAATCGCTGGGCTACCCCGCCTCCATTTTCCCGGGGGATGAGCAGTCGCGTGCCGGCATAGACAGCAGCATCAAGCGGCTAGAGGAGGCCAATCCAACTCCCTCGCCTCTGCAGCAGGCCGAGCGCGGCGGGCAGCCCAGCCCAGCCCTGCTGGGCGACTGGCAGCTGATCTACGCGAGCAGCGGCACCTATGTGACTCGCACGGCGGCGGCGCAGGCGCTGCTGGCAGCCAGCAGGCTGCCAGGCACGGGTGTGGCAGATGTTCGGCAGGCCCTGCAACTCCCACCCAACAGCAGCGGCAGCGGCAGTGGCAGCAGCGGCCAGCTACGCACCAACAATGCGGCCTGCTTTGGTCTGGGGCCCTTTGGGGAGTGGGAGGTGTGCATCGACGGAGTGTGGGACATTCAGGATGGCTCGCTGGCGCGGGTGAGCTTTGAGAGCTTCACCCTGCAGCTCGTGGGCATGCTGGGCCTGAAGCTGCCCCGGATGGCCAAGGTGCGCTGCCGCTGTGGTACGCTCTCAAAAAGGCGTACCCATGGCGCCTACATAATGCTTTACAGTGCATTGCCACGTTCCTTCTCCTCACCCCACCTTGACCTGCGTTGTTGTGCCAGGTCACGGTGCCTATCAAGAACAGCATTACAGCTGACTTTACCACCACCTATGTGAGCGAGGGTGTTCGGATAGCGCGGGGGAGCAAGGGCAACGTGTTCCTTTTCCGGAAGCTGGCCTGATTATTTTTTAAACCGTCGCTGTGCTTTGTTGAAAGAGGGCCGTTGTTACAGCGCTGGCATGCACAGTTGGCGACAACGGCGGCGGGAGGCGGGAGCCTCGCAAGCAGCCTGCTACAGGCGCGGCCTGCAGCAGCATCGCGATCGGTCACATGCTCACCACCGCTCGATTCCTCTCTATCGCACATCATGCGCACATGCTCCCGCCGCGGCGTGACAAAGGCCGAGGCCCGCCATCAACCGGCTGACTCCAGCTGCCAACCCTTCCGCTACTGCTTCCACTCCACAAACTCCTTCTTGCCCTCGTCCCAGCTATACCACTTGCCATCGCCGCCGCTGTAGAAGCCGCCGGAGGCCGCATCCCAGTACATGCCCGTCTCTGCACGGCAGGAGAGAAGCGGCGGGGGCACCACCAGAGCCAGTCTTGTTTGCCAGGCGCAGCGCAGCGAGGACAGCAGGCCGCCGGCCGGCAGGCCTGGCGGGCAAGGACCTGCTGGCCGCTCCCGCCCACAGCGCTGGCCAGAGGAGGCACCTGCCTCGGGAGTCCCTTAACGCCGGCATGCACCAGAACGCATATCACGCAGACAGATGCACAAGAACGCATGTTGCGTGCCAGCAGGCAGGACGCGCCTGGGCTGAGGTAGTAGCCCGTGGCGGGGTCAAACACATATCCGGCTGGCGCCTCGCCCTCGGGCCCCGCCGCCGCCACCTCCTTCACCCTGGCAATCAGCTCCTCCTTCTCTACTATGCCCGCCCCATCCTGCAGGGGCAGGCATGGGCTCAGGAAATCGGTGGGCAGAAAGGAAGAGCTAGGCGGGCGGAGGGCCGTCCACGCCGCTGTGGTGGACAGGGCATCAGGAAGCGGTGTGTGCTGGATGGCATCCCGAGTACAGCTAGCCTGCCAGCCCGAGGATGTGCTGGCCGACACGCTGCGCTGCACTGCCTGGCCGGCCGCCCGCGCTCACCACGCCTCGCTCCGACAGGAAGCGCCGCAGCTCCTTGACCGGCCAGCTGCTGTAGTCGGTTTCGTCTGCGGCCGGCTTGGCCGCCGCGGGATGCGCGGCAGAGGGGGGCGGGCCCCCTGGCGCCGGCGCCGCTGCGGCTGGCGGCTGCGCTGTGCCGCCTGCTGCCGCCGCCGCGGGCTCCTCCTTCTCCTCCTCAGCAAACATGTCCTCGTCTGCAGGCAGGGAAGGTGTGTGGCGCGGGAAGGTGTGAGGGCCCCACACACGTGACCAGCCGGCGAGGCGCCGGCACACCATGTCTTTGAGCATGTCCACATTCCTGTGCCCGTTTCTGTGCACAAAGCATGAGGACCCCAGGCCAGCAGGCGCCAGCGGCAGGGCAGCGAAGGAAGCACGGAGCGCTTGCAAAGCGTGTCGGCCGGCTGGGAGAGCGGCGGGCCGCGGCAGTGGTGGAGAGGAGAGCGGCCGGGTGCCACACCTGCGTCCTCATAGGCGGCCTTGGAGGGCCCCGCATCCACCGCCCGGCCAGGCAGGTCGATGTACACGGAAGCCGCCCGCTCAAAATATTCCTGCAGCAGCGGCACAGACACAGACAACAACGCAAGGAGCAGGGGCAGGGTTGGGGCGGGAGCCCTACGACAGAGAGGAATGGCTGGGAGGGTCAGGCGAGGGCAAGCCCGATCGCCTGCAGTACCTTGTTCTGGCTGTACACGTCGTTCTCGCCGGCATCCATCAGCTTCATGGCAGCTTCCGTCAGCTGGTTGAACTGCTGCTTGGCGGCCGGGTCTGGCGCCACGTCAGCCGCCATGTCAGCAGGCTCGTCGCCGCCCCGCCCCGCCTGCCGGCTGCGCTTGGCGGGCCGCCGGCTGTGGCCGCCCAGCCGCTTGAGTGCCGCCGCCACCGTCTCGCCGGGGTGCAGCACCTGGGAGGCCTGGAACTGCAGCCGCGCAATCTGGGTGGCCGACAGCGGCCCCGCCGCCGCCTCCGCTGCCGCCGCCCGCGTCTGCGCCTCCTCAATCTTGCGCCGCACCTCGTCGCTGACCACCTTGGCTGCAGGCAGGGCGGGGCACAGAAGGCAGCCGCAGCAGGCGGGCGGCGTAAGCACCTGGCACACACACATCAACACGCTGCTGCCTGCTGGCCTGCCGGCCGGCGGCGGCCAGGGAGCTGCGGTGCGCTGGCACCACCACCACATCTGAGCAGGGCCAAGCGCCAGCCCACCCTCATCCGACTGAAGCCATGCATCTGCCGCGTCCTGCTCAGCATCCTTGTCCTCCTTCTCCACATAATTGCCGGAGGCATCAAAGTAGCCGCGCTGCCGCTCCTCCTGCAACACCACACCAGGCGCGTCTGCTGCGGGCACACGCGCCGCGGCTCCCCGCGCCGCGCCGCGCCCCCTGCTGCTGGGAGGTTCCCTCCCCTGGCGGCACACGGCGCGTGAATTGATGGGCATGGCGCAGGCAGGGGGGGCTGGCAGTGGCCCCTGCTGTGGTGCGCGCTGTGCCACGCATCGGCGCGAGGAAGCCATCGGAACCATCACCAGACACAGAGCCAGCTCCTCCACCCCACTCGCCTTGAGATTGAAGGCCTCCAGCTTGATGCCGTCCTCCTCCTCCTGCTCCAGCTCCTCCTCTATGTCCTCCACATCCTCCACAATGTCGGTGTCGCCCACGGCGGCGCCCTTGCGCCTCGCGGCGCGCCGCGTGTGCGCCATCCCAACCATGCTCTCCTTCACCGGACCGCCCTCCGCCGCCTCGATCTGCTCCAGCGTCATGCCCTTGCGCGCAGCCTTGCGCGCCTTGCCTGCAACGGTTTGGGGGAGGCGGAGGGCGAGCGGCGGGCGGTCGGGGCGGCGTCCTAACAGCAGGCGGCCACCGGCGGCCGGCTGCCGACCCCGACCCACCTTCGGCATGTTTCTCCTGCTTCTGTTTCTTCTTCTCCGCCTGTTCAGCCTTGAGAGCCTCCTGTATGAGGGCGTCCGTGTCGGCCATGCTGCTGTAGAGCTGTGTCGGCCACCCCACACGACGCTCAGAGATATTTCACGATCCACAGATCAAGTGAGGACGCAAGGGAGCGCCAATGGCGAGGCTCCAGGCAACGAGCGATCGCGGGGTGCTGCTAGCAGTGTCGTGGGGGAGCTTTGAAGTCACAGATGGATCGTGGGGTGCGACCATGGGTGCTGCCAAGCAATCAGACCAACAACAGGGCAGACATAGCAGGAGCGACAGCTCAGCTTGTGCGCAAAAGAGCTACAAGGAGAGGCAGGCGGCATCCCTGGTCGATCGCAATAAGTTGGCAAGGGTGAGAGTCTCGGCATCGCCCCAGGGCTGCGATCCCGAGTGCCCATCCAGCCCACCTTGAGGGTGCAGCAAGCGGCAGCCGTCTAGCCCAATGCAGAGTGCCCTGCGGATCAGTTGCAGGGCTGGCCCCGGCGCGTTCAGCCGGATCGTCTGCAAGGCAGGCCGTCGGGGAGGCGCGGCGCTCCCGCCACCCGAGCCGCTCCGGCGTAGCCTGTCGCAGCGGGCAGGGCCCAGCAGCAATGCGGCGGCCGGGGCGAGCGGCAGCCTGGCGGGTGAGTGCTTGCGTGGTGCCCAGGGGGTGGAGGGTAGGCAGCGCTGGCGTGGCGTGTGCTCGGCGTGCCGGGAGCACCGCCTAGGGTGCTTCACGTGGCAGGAATTGGCTGCCCTCCACCCTGCCGAAGGCTGCCTTGCCCTCCGTGTGCAGCCATGTTCCGCAGCCTGCGCGAGCAGCGCGTGACCTTCCGCACTTTCAGCAGCGGCGGCTCGGGCGGCGGCAGCTCGGGCGGCGGCTCGGGCGGCGGCGGCGGCGGCGGCTCAAGCGGCGGCGGCGGCGGCGGAAGCGGGCTGGGTGCCCTGTGGGCCGCATACCTTGGCCTGCTGGAGAAGCAGCCGGTGGCCACCAAGGCCGTGTCTGCGGCCCTGCTCAACGGCCTGGGCGACGCCATTGCCCAGACGCAGTTCGAGGATGGTCCGTTTGACTGGAAGCGCTGCGGCATCTTCACTTTCCTGGTGAGGCTGCCTGCGCGGGGGGCAGAGCGGGCGGGGGAGGGGCTGCTGGGCAAGTCTGGGGGACCCCCTGAATGGAGGGTTGGTTGGCTCTCTGGCTGCGTTGGCCGACCACGCCTGGCTGCGGCTCGCGCATCCCTCCCCGCCCCCACCTCCTGTCCCCGCCTCCGCCTCCCTTCCCCACGCCCGCCCCCCTGCCGCCTGCAGGGCCTGGCGCTGATCGGGCCCGCGCTGCATGTGTGGTACGGTCGCCTGGGCAGCCTAGTGACGACCGGCGGCAACGCGGGCGCCGCCATGCGCATGGCGCTGGACCAGCTCTGCTTCGCCCCCCTCTTCATCTCCTGTGCGCGGCGGGGCGGCGCCCGGCTGCTGCTCGCTGTCGGCCATTTTTTACCACTCTGCGCTGCCTCTGTGCCCCTCGGCCTGGCTGCGCGTGCGCAGCACAATTGCGTCTGCGCCCAGCCGCTTGCCTGCGCCTCCCTCGCTCCTTCTACACACGCACACACGCGCGCACGCACACAGAGCCCCCCACCGCCGCGCCTCCCCCTGCCGCAGCCATCGTGGCCTCGATCATGGCGCTGGAGGGCAAGGCGGGGGAGGTGCCCGCCCGCCTGCGCCGCGACCTGCCCGACATCGTGCGCTCCAACTGGCTGCTCTGGGTGCCCTTCCAGTTCGTCAACTTCCGCTTCGTGCCGCCCAAGCTGCAGGCGAGCGGCGCGGGTGCCGCGCGCGCGGCCGTGCCCTGCGGGCGGGCGGGCGCCTGTGGGCGTGTGCCCTGTGGGCGTGCCCTGTGTGCGCAAGGGCGAGGCCGCGTTTTGCTGCCGGGCAGCCTGCCGGGCGGCGCGCTCGGTGCCACCGCCGGAGTCGACAACAGCCGGGGCCTGGCCCGCTTGCCGCCTGCGGCCGCTGGTGCAGGTGCTGATGGCAAATGTGGTGGCCCTGGCCTGGAACACCTACATGTCTTGGAAAAGCCACACGTGATGGGCCACACCTGGCTGGGCCTTCTTTCTTTCTTACTGAGCTCCTCGAGTCGCCCCACCGCCACGTGGAGGCCCCGACGTGGGAGGGCAGTACAGGCGGGACGATGCCGTGACGGACCTCCCGGGCAGGCCGCCCTTGGGCAAGCATTCCTTCTTCCATGGAGGCGCCGGGCCGGGCGCTCGCAGCGTGCCGGCCTCGGCAGCGCCGGCCCGTCCTGCCACCTGGCGTGGCCTGGCGCGTGGCCGATGTTTTTTCACAGGAACTGAAAAGAATTGAGTGCAAGAGAGATGGGCTAGTGCAAGAGAGATGGGCAGGCATTCAAAGGGTTTCACACATGAATAGGATACACAGCATCTGCGAGGGCATCATGGGGGCAGGCCACGGCATGCAGTAATAGAACGGACAGAAAAAAGAGAGGCACAGGAATGACCTGCCACTTATAACCCGCTACTTAGATTGCTTGTTCAGGACGGCCTAGGGCGCCGCCTGTGGTGGTGTGGAGGCCGGGCCCTGCTGCTGGACATGTGTTTGGCAAAAGCAGGATGGAACGTGTGGGGGCGGCGAGGAATGAACAGGATGAACATGATGCGGCCTTGTGCCGAGGAATGGACAGGATGAATTGGTGGGGAACAGGCGGGCAAGGGAAATGAAATCAGATAAGATAATGCATTCATATTCATTTAAACAAGTGGGCATTCCGCATGGTGGATAGGAAATGCAGACGCAACGAAGAAAGGACCGCGATCAAAGAGAGGGGGAGCGTGCCACAGCCACACATCTGCGTTCACAGGGGGCCCACTGCGGCGGCCGCGCTCGGCGGCGTGCACCCCCAGCACGCATCCCGCAGCAGGTGGGCATAGTGCTGGGAGGCGCGCGTGTGCATGGGGGTGCCGGCAAGGATGGTGGCCCCGCCGCCGGGCAGCCGGCCCATGCCCAGGTGCATGGGGGCCGCCCACGTGTCCCAGCTGGCGGCCACGTCAGCGGGCAGGCAGCGGCAGGCGGGGCACGCCTCCTGCGCCTCCTTGCTCCACCAGTAGGTATCCAGCACCAGGCACTTCAGCTGGGAGTCGTCAAAGGCGGCCTTCAGGCGAGCCACGCACTGCTTGCCGTCGTACCTGCGCCGGCAGGCAGCGGCACAGGCAAGGGTGCGTCCTGCGCGGCCGAAGCGGGGAACATACGCAGCAGCCCCCAGCATCCGGCGCCGCTCGGCTCACCAGACTGTGGAGCAGCGGCTGCCGCGCGCCATGCACTGCACCGCCCAGGGCAGCAGCAGCGCCATGGCGCCGCCCAGGCGGTGGCGCGCCGCCAGCTCAAATGCCTGGCACGCCTGCTGCGGCTTCAGCGGCTCCGCCTGCTGCCCGTACTGAGCGCACAGCCAGGCGTCTGCGCTCTGAATCACCGCCTCTGCGCCAAAGTAGTCGGCAAGCTGCAGCACGCCGGCAATGGTGGACCACTGCGGCGAAGGCGAGGGGAGGCAGGCGAGGAGAGGCAGGATGAAGACTGGCGCGGATGGAAGGTAGGGGGCGGCAGGTAACCCAGCCACGCGGGCGGGCCACTAGCTTAAGCATGTGCTGTGGCAGAACATGCAATGAGAGATCGGGCATGCCAGGGCGAGGCCTCCTCCAACTAGGGTTGGGTGGCGCTGGCGCCGTGCAGCGGCGGCTGGCCGCCTGCCCACCTGAAACCCCCGCTCCCGGTAGAGGTGAGCCAGGAAGGCGGGGAACTCGGGACTGGCTGCATGCACGCCCGCCGTCAGCGGAGAGGGCTCCTCCGGGAGCAGCGACACCACAGGCAACTTCGTCTCCAGCCACTGGCAATTCTGCCCGCCGTGCTGGAGAGCCACCAGGGAAGCCAGATGTGGCGATGCCAATGAGATTATTTGGCTGTGGGCAAGGTAGAGCCTTCCGGAGAAGCGCAGGGCGCAGTCGGCCTGAAGGCCAAGCTCGTGGTTGCCCTGCGGCAGGTGCGCGACCTCCAGCGCGCCACAGCATGCACTCGCCATATTTACAGCCACCATGGAATAGGGGGAGGCGGAGGGGAGCAGCTCAGTGAAAGGCGGAGTACGGGCAAGTGCTGAAGTGGCCGCCTCTCGTTATGTCGCTCCTGCTCACTTGCACCTCAGTGGACGCTGTATGAGAGTGGTATGAGAGCTTTTCGGCTGGGTGTGGCCAGTGCAGCCTAATAAGCAGACACTGGGCGTGCCGGGTACGGCGCCGCTCCTCCAGCAGCGCGGGACAGGCTGGTGGCCAGTCACTGGATGTTTGCGTGAGAGTTGCAGCAAAGGAATGAAAGAACCAGAATCCAGAGCAAACAAAACGCTACCCTAACGTTGATACAAAGAAGCGCGGCTACCGCGCAAAGCTGACTGCCTCATCCCATCTCAGCCTCGTGTTGGGCTCGCGCCTGCAGCCGCTCCAGCAGCTGCCCCAGCTGCGCGTCCATGCTGTCCAGCCGCTCATTCACCTCCCGCCGCAGCGTCAGTAGCCCCGCTTGCAGCGCCAGCACAGCCTCCAGCAGCCCCGCTCCTCCATCTAACCGGTAGCAGCACAGCCAGAGCTGTGCAGGCCCGCTGCTGCCGTTGCCGGCCAGCGCCGCGCTGCAAAAGGGCGCGGGAGCCGGCTTGGGCGCCGCATCCAGCAGCACCCAGACCAGCTCTCTGCTGCAGGCGCCCGTCGAGGTGGCAGCTGCTGGATCGCCGGGCACGAGTGCCAGGCTCCTAATCCTGACGCTGCATTCCTCTGGCACGCCGTCTGGCAGCGGCAACAGCAGCGGCTCGTGCTGCGCCAGGCCTCCGTCCCGGCGCAGCTGGCACACGACCAGCGCTGGCGGACCCTTGCTGCAAGCAAGCACAGCCAGCTTGTCGGCTGCTTGCATGAAGTCAGGGGGCAGCCCCAGCGGCACACTGCTGGACTTAGCCACCGGCTGGCTGCCGCTGGCATCGCTTAGCCTCAGCAGGGTGAGGTGGCCTGCTCCCACAGGCTGCCTCGCAGCGCTTCCGCTGCTGGCTGCCAGCTTGGCGACCTGAGCAGACGGCGGCGATGCTGCAAGGCCTTGCTCAGGACCCAGCATGAACATTGCTGGGATCGCAGGCCCGCCAAATGATGGTGACAACAGCTTGCCACCGCTGCCGCTGAGGTCCACCAAGCAATCTCCAGCAGAACCGGTGGTCGCAGCCGCAGCAGGGGCCCCGGGCATTGCTGTGTCTGCCGCTGCTGCTGGGTGCAGGATTTCCCTGGAGGCTGGCAGCAGCAGCGGTGCTGACTTGGCCGCCGCCGCATCCAGGCCCCTTTGCATGATGGCTGCGCTCCCAGCCTCCTCTGCTGCCTGCCTCTCCTGCTGTGCCTGCTGGCCACCTGCCTCCCTCAGCCACTCTCCCATGGAGCGCTCAGTAGCCACCAGCAATGCATTGCTGCCGGCAAATGCCAGGCCGCAAACGGGGCCTGACAGGCCCGGCAGCAGCTGCCGCCGCTCCAGCAGCTGCCAGCCTGCAGGCAGGCCATGTGGGGCAGGATAAAGCACCAGGGCACGGTATGCACCAGAAACCGAAACACCCAGGCTGGTCCACCAACGGCACTTGCATGCTGCCAGAAGGCGCAAAAGCCTCACCCTGGTCAAATGACAGCTGTTCAAGCTGCTGGCCGCCCCAGCACACCACCATGACGCTGCTGCCGCTGCTGCTGCCGCTGCTGCTTGCGTCGCATCCATCTCCCAGCCAGGCGAGGCAGCAGCGCCCTGTGGTGCCTCTGCCAGAGCCAGTGGCTCGCCCTGTCACCTTGCTTCCCACACTGCAGCTGCCACAGCCACCGGCGCTGCTCCCAGCCGAGGGGGCAAACAGCTGCAGCTCCCCAGGCGCCAGCAAGGCACAGACAGGCTGGCTGGGGTGCCAGCTGCAAGCCTGCCAGGCAGGCAAGGGTGCTGGCACAGTGCTGCTGCTGCTAGGCACCCTGCTGCTCCCAACACTGCTACTCCTACTAATGTCGTGGCGGTCGATGGGGACAAAGTGCGCCACGCCGCCTGCCAGAGCTGCCACCCACTGCTGCTCTGTGGAGCTGCCTCCAGCGCCTCTGTTGCCACAGCCACTGCAGCTGCTGACTGCCACCGCCGCAATGCTGGCAGCGCATTCGAGCAAACAGCGCAGGGGCTGCACAGCCGCGGGAGCAACGGCGAGCAGCAGGAGGCGCTGCCCTGCCGCTGCCACTGCCAGGCCACGGCCAGCCAGGCGCAGCTGCGGCCCGGCGTGGCGCCCTCCCTCTGCCACCACTTCCGCCGCCAGGCACTGTGCCTGCACCAGCCGAGCCTCCAGCTGCTGCTCCAGTTGCCCATGCTGCGGCTGCACCACGTCGGCAGGCACGGCACCGTTGCGCGCCATTTGCTGGCGAGCTGCGACACTGCTAACTGGCCCCTCGGGCTGAGCTTATGTCTGTCAGGCCCGCTGGGGAGGGCGAGGAGGTGCCTCAGGAGTCGGCCTGCAGGTGCGGCAGGTCTGGGATGTCGTCCCAGGAGTAGCCGCGGCGCCCCTTCCACACCATGTATGCGATGTGCCTGCAGTGTTGTTGGGAGAGGCAGGGTCAAACGCAGGGAAGCCAGAGGAGTCATAATGAGGGGCGCTGTGTTGCTAGGGGATCGGCAGGGCGGACTGGCGCACAAGGGGTGCAGGCAGCGATGGCGCTGAGGAGGTGGAACGGCGGGCCAGGCAGCGATGCGCTCTGCAGGTGGAGCGGCGGCCAGGCAGGCGGCCGCACGTGAAGTAGAAGCCGGGGATGAACACGAGCAGGCCCAGCACCCACAGGCCGATCAGCGCGTGCGTGCCCTCTGTCTGCCACAGCACCATGCCCGCGATGAACATGGCCAGGCCTGCGCCAGCCCAAGGGTGGGCATGGGTTGGTTGGGCCGGGCGGAAGGCGAATGGCAGGCGGCCGCGGGCGGGCTGACGTCAGCAGCGGCAAGCGGCGGTGGCGGCGCCGGGGCGCCGGGCCGCCGGCAGCACTTGATGCCATCCCCGGCGCTCTTCCTAGGCCAGATATCAGTCACCCAGACACCCGCAGCAGCCCCTAGGAGTGCGCACCCGCCACAGTCAACCCGATCGCCAAATACACGGACCGCCAGGGGACCTGCTGGACTGGCATCATTCTGGGGGCTGATGTGGCTCGAGCTCAGGCACTAGCGGGGGGCTATCGCAGCGTCACACGGCATGGATCACACCAAGCGGGGTTAACGGAGAAGCAGCCGATACGTTAAATGCTGGGAGACCTTTACGCTGTGCTGCTACTGCAAGTATTTGAAGGCGGGCTAGAAAACGCCGAGCTGGCGGGGTCCACTCGGGTGCAACTCTGATGGCTCTCCCTAACCTCGGTCCGCGCTTGCCAACACCACATTAAGCTGCTGCAGTCTCAGGTCCTGGTCAATTGCTCGTCGACACACCCCGCCGCCGGTGCCATCACCTCCGCCCTGCCAGGTAGTGCAAGGAGCACGTCTGTAGCCAACTGATGCATCAGCACGCACACATGTTCACCCTGCTTCCGTGGGAGGCTGCCGCCAAGCAGCCCACGACAGGCGGGTGGTGGACGCCTCACTCCGCCGAGCCTGATGCTCAAAGCGCCTGGCCCCACAAAAGGTGGCTTTTGTGTGGACTCTGTCCTCTGCAGAGCCCACTGCCATGGATGGCCAGCCAGGCGGCGACTCTCTGGAGCGCCGCCTGCAGCGGGCGGAGGCCCTGGCGCCCGAGGAGAGAACCCCCGAGGCCGCTGCCTTTGTAGCGTCCACCCAGCTTGCCGCCGCCATCCGGCAGCTGCTGCCGCTGGGCGCCGACGGCCGCGCGGCGCTGCCCGACACGCCGGCCATCCGCGAGCGTGCGCTGCTGGCAGCGGTGAAGGTGGGGCAGGCTGCTGCTGCTGCTGTGCTCGCCGGCGCCGATCGCCTCTGATGGCATGGGGCACTCTGGGGTGCTGCTGTGTTTGGAGTTGCAGCGCCAGCCATGCAGCGCCCCACCAGCTGGAGGGGGTCTGCTTGACCGGGCTCCCCCAACCAGCCCCTGCCTGCTGTGTGTGTCTCCGCTGCCTGCCGCAGCTGGTGCACGCCGATATCTTGTGCCCCATGCCGCCCATCGACCGACACCTCACGCTGAGACACACGGCCGCATACGCCCACTGCATCCGCCGGGCCAGCCAGGGCAGCGCCACCGAGCTGCTGTTCGCCGTGGTGGCTCGCGCAGCCGGCGGCAGCGACGGTGGTACCGGCAGGAGCGGCAGCGATGCAGCAGCCGGCGCCGCCGAAGCCGAGTGTTTGGCGGAGGTGCTGCGGGCTTACCTGGCGGCCACCCAGCTGGCGGGCCAGCTGCGCGGCCTGGCTGCAATCAGCGAGGGCCTCGCGTTAGTGGACCTGCCGGGCTTCCGCCCCGCCCTGCAGCGTGCGCTGGCGGCGCTGGAGGAGCGGCAGGCGCAGGAGGCAGGGCCCGCGGCGCCCCTGCCCACCGCGGCGCAGCTGGAGTGGGCCTGCAACTACCTGGCCGCCCACAGCGCGGTGCAGATCGAGGAGCAGCAGCAGCTGCAGCAGCGGGGCACAACGGTGCAGCTGGCGGCGCAGCTGGGCATCGTCGGGCCGGCGCCAGAGCAGCTGTGCCGCCAGCAGCTGCATGTCGTGTGCTCTGTGGAGCGCCGGGCCGTGGAGGCGCTGCTGCAGCTGGAGCCAGACAACCCCAAGGGCTTGATGCTGGCAGCCGCGGCATACTCGCACAGCGAGGCAGACGCCGAGCTGGCGGCACACCTGTTCCTGCGATCCCACGGGCTGGGGCGCGCGCAGCGCAGCGACTGGTTTGTGGCCGAGGGGGCGGCGCGGGCGCTGAGCGTGGTGGCGGACTGCGGGGCGAGCGTTGGGCGGGCCACCCTGGAGGCGGTGGTGGCGGCGTATGCTGATGTGGCGCCAGCAAGGAAGCGGTGCCGCCAGCTGCTGCCACACCCTTGGGTGGCATCCATGGAGCTCTTCGCGTCTGCCGAGCAGCAGCTGCTGGGCTACATTCAGCAGCAGCTTGGGGAGGAGCAGGAGCCAGATAGATGAATGAATCCGGCAATGGATTGCTTCCATAACATCTGTGCTGAACGCCGATGTCCTGATTTTTTTCCCCTCAGATCCACAGGCACACACCCCTTTTGGCAAGGGGTACCTCCCACTAGCTGGCACCGTCTGCAAGGTTGGTGGCAGAGCCAAACCCAGTTCCGGTGCCATGATCATCACTCAAAGCATTCACACAGCGTCCACATCACTCATTAGAGTGCAACACAGGGCAGGAGCAACCTGGCCCGTGGCAGGGTGCTGAGCGGCAGCAAGCCAGGGCTCGCCGCCAGGCGTGACCCGCCGGGCGGAAGCTTTCCAAGCCAGGTGCGCATGCAGCAGCGGCTGTTCCTCTTCAAGATCGCGATCATCCGGGGCTGTTGCTGCTTGTCCTGGGGTGCTGCCCTCTTCATCAGTGCGATTCCCTCGGACCCACCGTTTCTTCTCCTCATTGCTCCTCGCTAGCCCGCCCGGACCCCCGAGTATCGATCCAACAGGCCAGCGGCGCCCGCACAGGCGGCCGCTGCACACCCGCCAGCCGCCATGGCGGCCGGCGCCAGCAGCGGCGGCGGCGGCGTGCGCTTTGTGCCGCTGCTGGGCGTGCACGGCGGGCAACCGCTGAGCTACCTGCTGGAGCTGGGGGGATTCACTTTCCTCCTGGACTGCGGCTGGAACGACGCCTATGACCCGCAGCTGCTACAGCCCATCCTCGATGTGCTGCCGCGTGTGGACGCAGGTGCGCCCGGGCACAGGCCCCAGCCCGGCTCTGCAGCCGTGCATAGTCGTTGTCATTTCTCTTCTGCTCCTTCCCCTGCTGTCGATCTTGCTGGCTGCTGTCCTCCCCAACGGCCCCACGCCCTCGCCCGCTGCAGTGCTGCTGTCCCACTCAGACCCCGCCCACCTCGGCGCGCTGCCCTACCTGGTGGGGCGGCTGGGCCTGGCGGCGCCCGTGTATGCCACAGGCCCCGTGCACAAGATGGGGCAGATGTTCATGTACGACCAGTACCTCACCCGCCAGGTGGATGGACCCGCATGCTACTGCAACAGCGCCGCACAGGACCGCCCGCTGCACGCGGTTTGGAAGGCAGCAGGCGGCGCAGCATCCAGGCGGATGCGCAGCGCCGAGTCGCTGCCTGCGAGACGAGGCCAGACGCTGCACTGGCCCCCTCGGCTGGCACGCCTGGCATCTGCCTGCCTGCCCCCACCGCTCCATTCTTTCTTGCAGGCCATCAGCGACTTTGATGTGTTCAATCTCGATGATGTGGATGCAGCCTTTGCGCTGGTGCACCCGCTGCGCTACCAGCAAAACATGGCGCTCAGGTGGGCGGTGCGGCCCTGGCGTGGCGCCGCCGCCGGTGCGAGCAGCCAGGGCTTTGTCGGTCGAGCGCCGCGCTGGCTGCGCCGCTCACCCGCCCGCGACCCCGCTCCCCGCCCGCAGCGGAAAGGGCGAGGGCATCGTGGTGACGCCGTTTGCGGCGGGGCACCTGCTGGGGGGCGCGGTGTGGCGCATTCGCTGGGGCGGGGAGGACTATGTATACGCTGTGGACTACAACCATAGGTGGGCACGGGTCTTGTTGGGCCCATGGTGTGGTGTGGGGTGCGTTTTGATGGAGGTGCGGGAGGACACATGTGGATGAAACGGGTGGTAAGGTGCGGGGTGTGGGTGTGGCTCAGGTGCCTGGGTGGCACGAAGGGTGAGATGGGTGGACAGGCGGCTTGAGCTGCTGCAAGGATGCGCCTGCCGCGGGGCGCATGCGATGCTTTCCCCGCTCATGCCGCCCCCTCCCTCCCTCCCTCGGTGCCTTTCATGTGGAGCGCAGGAAGGAGCGGCACCTCAACGGCACTGCGCTGGAATCAGCCTTCCAGCGCCCCGCCCTGCTCATCACAGACACCCGCAACGCGCTGCAGACAATACCGGAGCGGTGCGCCCGGGGGGGCGGGCGCTGGCACGCCAGCAGCGGCTGAGCCCTGCAACAGCGGCACACGCCCTCCGCTTGACAGCCAGCCGGTTTGGCTGGCCAGGCCAGGCGCCTGCGGGTGCCGTTTGTTTGGGTGAAGGCCTGCCGAGTGCGCTGCGGTGGTGCCGGCCTTGCGTGCAGGCCTGGCAAGGAGCAGGTACTGCTGGATGCGGTGATGGCCACGTTGCGGGGGGATGGCTCGGTGCTGATGCCGATAGATACAGGCAGGTGGTGGGTAGAGGCGCAGCCTGGCAGCGCTGCCACAGCGGGGAGCTGCTTAGCTGACGGCTGGGAGGCGTCTGTCCTGGGCATGCCTTGCTGGCCCGTTGCACCTCCGGGCCTCACCGTCTGTGTGCTTGCCTCCCTGCCTGCTCCGCCTGCAGCCGGGCGGCTTCTAGAGCTGGTGCTGCTGCTGGAGCGGCACTGGGCCGAGCACCGCCTCACCTACCCGCTCGTCCTGCTGTCAGCGATGGCCTTCAGGCAGGCAGCGCTGCAGGCCCACAGCCAGCGCTTGTGTGGCAGACCGCAAGATGCTCCCCGCTTTGCTGCCACGCCTTGCCAACGGCTCGCTGCTGCGCCGCCGCGTCGGCTGCTGCGCCACCTGCGTCGCCCTGGGCTGCCTGTACCGCGTCACCAGCTGCTGTTGTACTGCTCATCCCGCCCGTACCACCCGCAGCACCCTGGAGTTTGCCAAGAGCCAGCTGGAGTGGATGAACGAGGCGCTGACCCGCAGCCTGGGCCACGCCCGGGACAACCCTTTCAACACGCGGTGGGTGCCCTGGCCGTCGTGTTTGCTTGTTTGGGATGGCTTGGCTTCTGTTGTTGACTTGGCAGAGTGGAACGGTGTGCAACACAACAGCAGGCAAGGTGGTGGCGGATGGGGTGCTGAGTGTTGTGACAGGAAGGTGACGGTACCGCCCCCACTGTGACGTGTGGTACCGCAGGTTTTTGAAGCTGTGCAGCAGCCGGGAGGAGCTGGCGCGCTTGCCGCACGGCCCCAAGCTCGTGCTTGCCAGCCTGCCATCCCTGGAGGCCGGCTTCAGCCGCCAGCTGTTCATGGACTGGGCGGAGAACCCCCGCAACGCAGTCGTCTTCGTCACTCCTGCGGAGGAGGGCACGCT